ACGATTCTTAATTACGATTAGCTACTTAAGATAAATTTATAAATTAACTAGTATCTTAGTATCTAATTATATCGACTCGAGAGTAAATCGCGTATAATTTAGTTATTTCTTAAAGACTTCGAGAAATAGATAAAAGATCTAAATATAGATACGATTCTTATATAACTAGTTATTAATAAGATTCTAAAAAGTACTAATATTCTACTTAGAGATATAGAGTAGAAGATTAAGTTAAACTCTCGCTTTAGTAAGTTTATAAAGATATTTAGAGACCTAAGTAAGAACCTCTCTCTAGTAGAAGTACGTATATAATATTTAATCTCTATTATTAAAGACGAGAAGATACTCTATAGACTTATCTACTCTTTAAGTATATATAAGCTATTTATTCTTTAAGAGTACTTAGATATAATAATAGCTAAGAGCTAGATTTAATATAATAAGTCGTCGATAAGCGTATCTATTCTCTTTATTCTAAAGTCGAATAATAATCTACGACTCTATATCGACTATCGTAAGTTAAATTAGATTACTAAGAAGAACCGATATTCTTTTTCTTTAATCTCTAAGATATTAGATTATATAAGTAGTATATATATCTTTACTAAGTTAGACTTATAAGATATATATTATTAGATTCTAATTAAGAAAGAAGATCGCTAGAAGACCGCGTTTCGTACGCGATACGGATATTTTAAATATTTAGTAATACTCTTTAGTTTAATAAATATATCTATCTTATCCTAAGTATATATTAATAAAATACTAAAGAGCTTACTTAATAATATTTACGTAGTATATATAAATAATATATTTATCTATAGCTATAATACTAAGAAGTATAAAAGATATATAAGTCTTATACTTAAGAGACTCTAGTAATATAATCTCTACGTAAAGCTATCGAAGTATAAATTCTTTACTAAGAAGATTAACTTTCTAGAATATTATATAGAAGTTAACGAAGTCTTAATAGAATCTAGCTAAGTCGACGCTATCCGGAAATAGCTAGTACCTAAGTCCTATCGAGATATCTAAGTATTCTTAAGATTTACGAATTTCTATTAAAAGTTTATCTATAGATACTTCGTAGTCGTTATCTCTATTACTAATCTTCTTACGAGAATAGTCGTAGATAAGAAGACGAGACTTTTCTAGTAGACTACGAAGATAGACTAGGCGTTTTAGAAAATTAAGAAATACTTTATAAAAGCGTCGATATTAGTATACTTTAATCTTAAGCGATAATATTATATCGAAGTCGATATATTAGAAGATATAATTAGCGAGATACTATCGTAAGTATATAAGACGTAAGCGGAGTATATACTATAGAAATCTATAGTATTTTTCTTAAGAAAGATAACTTCTATAGAAAAGAATTATACTACTAGTAATAGTAAGATACTTATAATTATATATATCTTTAAGATATAGAGATATTATCTTAAGACGCTTATAAGGAGTATAATTATCCTTATTAATTATATAGCGCTATAGAGCTTTATAACGATAAAGGTCCTAAATCGATATTAGATACGCTAGATAGAGATACTAGCTATATATAACTTTAAGATTTAGTAGTAATAAGAGAAAAATAATCTAGTAGATAGACTCTCTCGTTAACTAGACTATATAGATAAGGAAGATCTACTAGAAAAGAACGCTATAAAGGCGTTACTTAAAATACGAATATTTATAGCTAACGACGAGTCGCGAGAACGTTTATAAGTCGATAACGAGATTATTATAGAAGTACTAACTTAAGTAATAGTTTAGAGTAGTAGAGATTCTACTAAAAGTAGTTATAATATTATAACTCTACTAACGTTTAAAGCTAAGTTAATAGCTATCTCTAGTCTAAGTTCGAAAGAAGCTACTAAGCTACGTAAATATAGAGACTTACTAGCGACTAGACTATAAGAGCTCTAAGTATAGAATATCTAGTATAAGAAAGCTTACTAGAAGATAGTACTTAATAGTTAAGTTAAAAGAGACGAGTTTTAAGAAACTTAAACTATTAACTAGAAAGATATAGTCTATTATAACGAAATTATATATATATTATATAATTCTACTATAAGAGAAGAGATTCTCTAGATAAACTATAATAATCTCTAATAGGGCGGATATTTTAGCGAGAGCCGAATAGTAAAGACTATTATATAATACTATTAGTAGTCGTATATTAGAAAAGATATAATTAATTATATTAAGATCTATAATATCTATTAACGAATAAAAGTACTATAGTATAAGTCTTATAAGAAGCTTAAGTCTCTTCTATAGCTATAAGAGTCCTAGTAAGATATCTCGATAGACTTTATCGTAGATCTATTACTATTAATAAGCAGAGGACGCGTATATAATATAATACTAGTTATTATTAATAAATACTCGAAGATAGTAAGTTTAATACTATATCGCTTAAATATCGTAGCTATAGATATAGTCTAGCTAGTATTAGAAAAAGTCGTCGTAAGATTTAGCGCCCCTAAGTTAATTATTAGTAATTATAGAACTATCTTTACTATAGCGTACTAAAGAACGTTATATATCTCTCTTACGACTCGTAGACTTTTCTCTATATTCTTCTACCTCTAGATTAATAATTAAACGAAACGAATAAACTAAACTCTAGAAGTGTATCTAAGATACTATATTAATTATAAATAGTTAGATTAGGCTAGCCTACTTATAAGCGCTAAGTATATAATAAACTCGATATTTAATATAACTATAGGCGAAACTCCCTTCTTAAGAATACTTTACTTTATATTTACTCTAAACGTAAATCTTAAACGCGACTCGTAAGTAAACCTAAATAGAAATATACTCGTAGAACAAAGAGCTAAAGTATTAGCGAGATCGCTACGCTATACTACTAAGATAAGAACTACTACTAAGAAGTAAATTATAAAGATAATAAAGTATTATAATAAGAAACGATAATTAATATTCTTTAACGTTAAAGATCGTATATTACTAGTAGCTAAGAATATTAGCCTCTCGCGTATAAGTCGTAAGCTATCTAATTAGTTCTTAAGTCTCTTCTATATTATTAAGAGAATTAGCTAGAATACGTATAAATTAGAACTTCTAGCGAAATATAATAGACTATATTATATCTTTTATATATTTCTTTTATAAATATATTATAAGCGATCTAGAGACGAAACTCTAAAACTAATTAACGTTAAGAGAGAGAAAGAATAGAAAATTAAGAGAATTCTTAATAAGCGCTAGAGGCGCGAGCGAACTAAGTTCTATATTCGATAGAAAGACTTTAGCGAAATCTATAATAGCTAGGAATCTAAAAATTATCTAGAAAACGTAAGCGAGATAATTAAGAGATTTAGGAAAAGTAGAATAAAAGTCTAATATTAATATCTCTAGCGAGAGAGACTAATAATAAAAGAAATATAGACGAGTTATAGATATATTATCTACTTATCTTTACTCTCTAATATAAACTTATTCTTAACGGCCTTAATACGATTAACTAGCTTATCTAAGATTACCTCTAAGGCGTTCTAATAAATAGATATATTAACGATAAGACGAGCGATACGATAATAGTACTTCTCAATTCCGTTCGCTCGCTCTTATATCGCTATAAAGAAGATATTAGAGTTAATCTATATAACTAGTTAGCAAGTCGTATACGATAAGTAGAAGAGAAGTCTTATCGTAAGAGTCTCTATACTAGTCTAAATTTCTCTAATCTAGCGAATTAAGAACTCTATTATATTTATAGTTTATTCTAATATTATCGAGTTTATAGAAACTTAACTAGAAGTATCGATATTAAAGAGTAAGATAATAGAGAAAGCGATTAAGAAAAATACGCTAATTATAAGCGATATAGTCTTAAAGATCTTTTACTAAATAGATATATTTAGTCGAGCGATTAAAGAACTAGAAAGAATATTACTACGAGTCGTAGACGCCTTAAGAGTAATTTAATAAATCTATCGATTAGTAGCTAAGAGACGATAGTAGAACTCGTCTATCGCTTCTATTAACTTTCGCTCTATAGTAGTAGAGTTACTATTTAATAAACGACTATTAAGACTTAAGATAGCTCTAGCGTCGTCTAGATATAAGTTCGGAATCTTATCGAGATTAGTATAATACTCGTAAGAGAATAGTATACGACTTATACGAAGATATTAAATAATAGTACGATTAGCGGAAATATATTATCTATAGCGACTACGACTAGATAGATAAATATAGTCTAGTTACTATAAGTCGTCTCGAAGAGACCGAATATACCGAATATATAGTAACTTATTATAGTCTTCTAGCGAGACGAATCGAACTCGCTTACGAGAAGAAGAAGAAGATAAAGAAGACGATCTTCTCTTAGACGTAATCGAGACTTACTTTACTAAAGATATAATAAGAAGTTAACGAGTTAAATAAGAGAAGATTACGAGTTAATTAATAAGTTATATAAGAGAAGAGTATAAGTTAGAAGAGATAAAGAATATAAAGAACTCTAGAAACTAACTCTTATTTATTTATAAGTTATTACGGCTACGAGGCGTAGACGAATATATCGCTAAGAACTTATATAAGTTATATTCTAAGTGTACGATACTCTTACGAGGCTATATAAGGCTATATTAGAAAGAAGGAAAGTACCGAGTACGTAACGAAGTATATAACTCGTATATAATACTATCGCTTTCTCGAGAACGAGAAACCTAAGAGAGAAGAATAATATTACGAATATCGAGACTAACTACCGTTACTAACTATCGATAACTTATACCCCTTAGCTACTCAAATAGAGCTAAGAGATATAAACTATACGCGACCTATATAAGAGAGCTTTCCTTCTCTTATGCTTCGAGTCGTATATAACTATAGGGTTAAGGAGTACTTAATACTAATTGAAGACTATATCGCTATACTCTGCCTATTCCCATTAGGCGTTCCTAACAACCACTCTCTAGAATAATCTATAGACCGTACGAGATACGGTGTTCTCTCCGATTTCTATAGTATATATAGGACTACTCTATACACTGTCAAGTGGATAGAGCGAGAGCAAATACAACAATTTTAGCGCACCTGCCAACATTATGCGACTTTACAAACATCTCTGCTATTATTTTTAACCCCTGAATGCGAACGTGCTCCATCAGCCTGCGGACACACTTCCCCTACAACACACTGCATTGCTCGCCTACAGGTCCAATATTAGATGTAGTTCTACCATACACCGATAGTAACACGCCTGAAACGCCTCCAACAGTCGCACTGCGCTTGTGTACCCGAAAACCTAAACCGCCCAAACACGCCCCAGCGTCCCGGCTGTTGCACTTTTGACAAGCCCCGTCCCCGTCTGCACAGAAAAGGAAATGTGTATATGCGATCAGCAGTGCCTTCGGGTCATGGTGGTGTTTCAATAAGGGGCCTCTCATTCTCGGCAGCAGAGGGGTCATTGCTGCCCGGATCACCATCCATAACGGTGTCATCCGGGCTGGTGTAGTATTCATCCGTGCTTCCTCCTTCATCAGAAGGTTCCTTCCCATAATTTCTGTGCAAATAAATAAGGTCGGCGAACACTCTCCAGTGTATTACGCTGATATGGCCGAGCAGGCTTGCCATCAGCGCGATGTCGGGCAATCGATATCCTTGTGGTTGTGGATAGAGTCTTCGCATTCTCTGCTGTGCCATGAAGATTGACATAGGTGACAATTCTCGATACTGTTGGACGTAGAAAAACGCGTGCTCTTCAAGAGTCCTGCAGAGTTTGATCCCGATTTCATGCTCTGTCCACTCTCGCTGTAATGCGGCAGCCAGCAAGTGCGCCGTGTCCGCAGTATCGGCGTGAGAGATGCTATCAAGAGGCTTTCCACAGACTTCAAATGCAGCTCGTGTAAGTTCTCCCGCAATTGCTTCTTCTCGGTGCTCCCACCATTGCTGGATCTTGGAGACTTCGAGCGAAGAGACTCCATCCGTCAAAATCAGCAATCTCATTCGGAGGCCGGGCAGCATATGGCCCAAATTCGACCTCCATTGATTGAGTTTGCGAACTAGGCCTTCAAAGACGTCAAGACACACCTCCAGGCATGTGAGTTCGTGCATTTGAGCACCTAGGCGCTGTAGGCGAACTGCATCGTAGGCGAGTGTATCGGGTATACGGTTTCCGCCGAAGCAAGTGTCAACGAGTCCATGGATCAACGAGACATACGGTAAGTCGTTCAATCTGCGCCCAGCAATCGAGCAGCGGGCGTGATGATTGACTGCATGGCCTTGAAGCCAGCCCCAATGCTCACGCCCATCCAGCCATGCGCCTTCCAAGCGTTCTCGAAAAACATGCTGTTGGAAATTAACGGTGTCGTCGATGAGAGCCCCACGGAGTCTGTTGACTTGGTAGTGAGCTGAGTCCAACTTCATCAACTTCAACAACTCGAACAGTGATTCGATACCTTCAACTAGAACTTGAAAGTCTCTGTTCTCTGCGCCTTCACGGATCTTTCGAGACATGAACTGCGCATGTGCGTCTCTGAAAGGAGCACAATGGCTCATGAGAAGCCGGCTGACCCAGTCGGCAAACCTGGCAACATCCATGAGTCCATGAGATAACTCTTGTAGGAGGAAAGGGACATCGAGATACTGTGCGAGCTGGTCTTTCTCTGCCTCTGGAAGTGAGTCATCGAGTAGTTCTTTGAGATTGGTAAACATGTTGGGCAGCCTCGATTCGAAGTGACGAGGTGTAGGTCGGGCAGGCGAGCATATAGCTTGGCAATCGGCACATGAAGGCGGCCAGCCATGTTGGTACAGTATCTTCAGCTCCGCCTTCAGACTCAGCCAGTATTCTCTCGACTTTCCCCGAACGTACTCCTTCCTGTCCCTTTCCTCAAAGCTGAACCGAGGATTAGGATCATAATTGATCTCATTGCGTAGGACTACATTCTCACTGAGGCGAGCAATGTCGATTTCCTCCAGGTACCTCGTGGTAACTGGGGGGTCGGCCATGGCATTAACTAGCGCATGCTGCTCTGGGATACTTGTACAAGGAGGAACCGGGATGGACCGAGAGAAGTGGTTGTAAGGTAGATTATGATATTCCGTTCCGCCACCGGACTGCACGTCAACGCATTGGAACGACAGCTGAGGATCTTGGTCGCATATTGTGTGAGGGACGGAGCTGGGTTTGCATGGAATATCGACATCGTTCTCAGCTGGACCGGCCCTTGCCGACGGCAAGTCGACTCTGGGGCACGATGATGATTTCATTGCTGGTGAATCTGACGGCGAGGAGAGTTCTGTAAATTCATGATCTGTATGTTCAGCCGGCTGATGCCTACCTGTTATAGAATCCCCTCTAACCTCCCCTGGCGCGCCGGCAGGATCTTCCTGGTCGGTCTCCATGGAGCTTGTTGGCTTTGTCGCCTTCTTTGGAGAGTGTCGATTGATGCTTGCTTTTCGAGCGGCCGATGTTCTATTGGTGCATCATTTTCATGCTGTGTGGTGGGAACCAGTCTGGCAAGTTCAGTTCCGAGAGGACGAGACGCTCGGAACCGCGGCCAATGCAAGCAGGGTGCTTCCTGAGTCGCCTCAAAGTGCTAGAGGCTTTGCCGAAGGCTGGTGGGACAGCCACGGGAAGGTGGATAGCGGCTTTGATTCGATAGAATGTGAGCTTGATCACGGCGCGGGACAGGAGCAATGGGCCAGGAAGATATGCAGCTAAGCTTGCTTCGGAGCTGTTCAATTTCCTGAAAGGCTATTGCTGCAATCTCAGGTAGTAGTAGTGGAGGCAAAGGGTGGAGTGGATGGACATCACTGAGGCTGCTGGATGGTGATGATGTGAGGTGCAGTGCCGTTCAAGTCGAGCGCAGGGACAAGCAAACTACACTGTACAGGTACCTGGGACTGGCACTGGCACTGGCATTGTATCTCAGGCTGGTACCTGCCCAGCTCCAAGTTTGTGCCTGCCGCTACCACCACGCAGCCATACTACAGGTATCCGACGACAAGTTGAAGTTGAAGCTGAGGGCCACGCAAGACCGGATCCTCTTCGAGTCGGACTCACCTCATGTGCCTCCACTACATTGGCCATGGCCCATGGCTGTGACTTGCGAGCCTCATTCTTCTGTTTTGGGATGAGCTTGGGAGGAACGTGCTGACTTCTATCGCTTCGATGTTTCGGGTGATTTTTGTGAACGGAACCCGGCCTGATCTCTTCTGTATGGAGGCTCGGAGATTACACCTGCGCCTCAGTGGCTGCTCTGTATCATGCTGTCAGTCGACTATAAGCAATTGTCACTCATGGCAGTGCTGCCACAAGAGACATCCAAAGGTCCTTTTTTGTCATCAGAAACCACAGATGCCACAGATGCCCTCCGCTGCCCAAGAAAAACGGGTTTACACAGCGTTGCTAGTGGACAATGGCGCTGTCGATGTTTGCTTGTGGATCCTGGTCTGGCCAGCGCCAACTTGCAGCTCAACTGCTGACCTTCATTGGCAGTTTTGGCCATCATTTTCACGCCGTCTCACCAATAACAGTCAGTCTCGTGGTTATCTGCGCCGTCCTGGATGACAGCCGGCGAAAACATAGGCTGCAGGCTACAAATCATGAGAGCCTGAAGGCCAGGGCTCCGGTTCCTACGCCGAAGCCCAGCTATTATTCGACCCTGGCTCGCGGCGACGATCAGCCTTGACAGGCGACCAGTCAGGCTGGGGTCTTCGCCCTTGCCACAACCCGCCACGTACAGTGTGGTATATGGATCGGCTCGAAGGCTCAAAATGAGGCTGTAGACTACATCTTATAAAAATGGATGGCAGGTCATGGAGACGGAAATGATCATCCTCTTCGCGGCATGAAACATAACCGCTGAGTTTACCGATCCACAAGGAAACACTGCTGTTCCACAATGCTTGCCGGTCATCATTGTCATAGCCGATTGTGCTTCCTTGTGCAGCGGTAACAGACATAGTCCGCCGGAGGTGATCCAGGCTAATCAGCCAGGGCTACCATGGTTCCGATGCATATTTGATGCTGATCTGCTATGGGCAAGACGGGGAGAGATGGAAAAATGGGAACATGGGAGCACAGCTGAAACCCTGTCCGGGTCTGTGTCTCCAGGGGCACGCGCAGTACAGTCTTCTTGGAGCAATATTGCCACTCGATGGAGTTGCAATCTCGCAGTTAATTCTACCTCAAAAGGCTACAGGCAGATCATGCGGAAGTATGTCCACGCCAGGTTGAGCAGCTTGCGCAGTTGGAGCGCCCATTGTTCAACTTGGTGTTATCACTTCCTTGGTGCCTTTCTTCCAGAAGGAAGCTTACTTCGAACATTCGCATGCCATCTTCGGGCCCAATGGAGGCCTTGGACATCGCTATGACGACGGATCGCACTTGTCATATTCTACAACTGGGTACATGTCGCAACTAACCGAATAAACTAACGCAGAGTACTTTGCCTGAGCGTCGAGGAAATGGTGACGAGCGTTATCTTCGGTTTCAGTACGTGGCTCCTCTAGCCTCACTCTTGCTGACACCGAGACAGTGGATTTCCTTTCAATGTGATCCGGATTAGAAAGTCTCACTCAGCGGCAAAGCTGGGGCAATCCAAGGGTCGGAAGCTCCATCCACACCACGAGGGCCTTAGGGAACATGGAAGCAGCAGTGATCCAGTGACCCCTATTCTCTCAAGAGGTTGTCGTTGATGCCATCGCTTGCGCCGGCTTGAAACCCTCTAGCCCTCTGTTTCCTGGAGGTGGATCACCACTTTACGAGCACCCGCAGCGCCTGAACGTTGGAGATTGTAAGCTTTGATAGCACCCTCAAACCCTTCTTCCCCGACCACTTCAAAGTCCCCTGGCTGCAGCCTGCCTGCCTTGATCAATCCGACAATGACTGGTATGTACTGTTCGATCTTTGCATTTAGCTGCTCTGCTTCAGGTCTACCAACATGCCCTAGCTGAACAGCGTATGTTTTCCCTCCAGCAAAATCCTTAATGCCACTCCAATCGTTAGTGGTAGAGAAGAACTTCTCAGAGCCTTTGCATGCTTTGAACAGTTCCTCGGCTAGTGTCGGTTTCTCGGCGGCAACAGCATCGAAAATCTTGGTGAAGTTGCCGGATGTGAAGTCCATGACGATTTTTAGCTGTTCCTCTAGCGAGGTCTTGTAGTCGAACGGGGCGGCGCCGAGACCTCTGACAATCCCAGCTGAGTTCTTCGAGCACGAGGCGACCACATGGTAGCCGCAAGCCATGGCCAGCTGGATCGCGCACCTGCCCACGCTACTCGCTCCTCCTAGGACGACAACCCATTCATCATCTTTGATAGCAGGAAGATTCGTAGGGTCGGGCAGTGGGATATGGAGGCCATCGAACAATCCCAAACAGGCAGTCTCGCTGGCCACTCCCAAAGTCGCCGCTTCGACGAGAGATATATTGATGGGCCTTGGTATAGTGACACGTGCATCCATCAAGAAGAACTCCTGGCAAGTCGAGTATCCGGGAGATCCGAGCCTTGTGCAACCAAAGACCTCGTCCCCGGGATTGAAGCCGTATTTCGACGAAGCTTCGCTACCCGCCTCGACCACCCTTCCAGCGGCGTCGACGCCGAGTCCAAGAGGCCATGCCTCGACAAGAAGGCCAGAAGCGCTCATGAAGGTATCACTATGTCAAGATCAGCAATGCAGGAAACACTTTGGGCCCTTTGACTCGCCAGAGAGAACAAGAGGTGTTGCGCCACAGACACACTTAAGTCCTTTGGAGCTCTTCAGTTGTTCAGGCGACTTGACTTACACCGGGTTGATAGCTGTCCAGATGGACTTGACCAGTACTTGATCGGTACCTGGGGTGGGCCTTTCCAGATCATCCACGACCCTCGGTTCCGCACCGACGGCGGGGAAGACGACTCCTTTCATAATGGAATACTGTTTTGAGGGATTGAGGTTGGCAAAGCCTCGTCGTCCAACGTCAATACCGGCCACGAGTTGGTGGGACATGGCTTCCACTATATGGACGCTCCAGACTCCCACGCGGGGGAGCTCGTCCCTAGCAACGGGCGAGGCAGCAATGGTCAACGTATGATGTCCGGTCTGCCTCTCCGGCATTACAGGGCAGACCTTCACGGGGTTTCATACTTCAGCAAATCAAACCAGCGATTTTCATGCAGGTCAGGGTCCAGGTTGTGATGGCTGAGGGGAATCCATGTGGTGGTCTGGTGCCACCTCAAGCCGTTCAGCTTTGCAGCAGCGAGACAAACACAAACTTTCAGGTCCAGAACGAGCATGGCATCTTACCGGCCACGGTTCTAGAGGCGCGACCTGGCTGAATACGAAGGGCACCCCTCAAGACTCCCCAAGAGTGGCTAGGGGCTGGTAATTGGTCAGCAACACTAAGCTTTGTAACCCATCCTGGAATTTTGAGCAACGTCTGTGTTACAGGCCGCTGAGGGGAAGCGCCATGTAGAGTACTAGCTGTCATGGAACAGCTGCTGAGGTCTAGGAGTTGGCAGCGGTGTGGTTCAGGCATGGGATGTGGAAGAAGAAGCTTACAGTCAAGTAAATGGTTACGAAATGCAGCTGCTTGGAAACCTACGGCGGACCATAGTGGACTGAGACTTCCCTTGCGCGGAGCAGACGGAGCTGGAGCTACACCACTACTGCAACCCGTTGCTGGCAGGAAAGTCAATGTTGCTCAACTTCCTCACTCAACATTCACCTACGCCGCATTTTAGACAATCCTCTTTCCATATCCTCTCGGATTCTTTCGTACACCTTCATATGCAGTCCTGAATTCTCTCTGTGCGTTGTTTCCCCCAGAGAATAGCTTCCTCCAGCCATGGCGGGCAGACAGTCTGTCCGGCAGCTCGCCCGCCAATTGACCTCGTCGCACTGCGCCCAATCTCAACGCCATGCACGACGAACATTTTCCTCTGTATCGCGGTGCCTAGCCGCGCACAATTTCATGATGCCAGCCATGTCACCCACCATGACCGAAGGCAATATCGCGACGTGGAAAGTCAAAGAAGGAGACTCATTTTCGGCCGGAGACGTGCTTCTGGAAATCGAGACGGATAAAGCTTCAATGGACGTCGAAGCCCAAGACGACGGAGTAATGGCCAAAATTTTTGCTGGGGATGGCTCCAAGGGAATCCAAGTAGGCACCCGGATCGCCGTGCTCGCCGATCCAGGAGACGACATTTCTAGTTTGGAGATTCCTCCGGACGATGCTCAGCCTGTCCGAAAAGAAGCGGACAACGTCAAGAGCGAGAGCGGCGCAGGCGCAGGCAGAGATGCAGACTCGAAATACGAGACATCGGGCGTTGAGAAGGAGGTGCCAGGAACACCACAGAACAAACGGCCCGCAAAGGATAAACCCACGACGAGTCCGACTGGGGCTGGCCAGAATCCAAAGTATCCTCTGTACCCGTCGGTCATTGCTCTGATCCACGAAAACCACATTCCAGACGAAGAGGTGAAAAAGATCCCCGCCACCGGACCGAACGGCCGTCTTCTAAAGGGCGATGTGCTCGCTTACTTGGGCACAATTGACCGGGACTATACTGAGAAACTGGCCAAGCGGCTCGAACACCTGGAACAGTTGGATCTCAGCAATATCAAGATCCTGCAACCCGCCTCGCCGCCTACTGCCGCCGCCGTCGCAGAAACAGCAGCAACCCCTGCTGCAGCTGAAGAGCCCAAAGTCAGCAGCGTCAGCTTGACGATTTCTCTCGCCGAGGTGCTCAAAGTCCAACAACGCGTGCAAGAGACGCTGGGAGTGACGGTGCCGCTTTCCAATTTTCTTGTGCGAGCAGTCGACCTGGCCAACGACGACCTTCCGCGACCAAAGGGGCAGAAACCCTCGGCCGACGAGCTTTTCAATTCCGTGCTGGGTTTGGACTCGATCCCCAAAACTTCCCGGGGCGCCTATCTTCCTCAAATTGATGCGTTGCCGGTTGAACGTCAGAGCCACAAGAAACCTACTCCCCAACGACGGCGTTCTGCAACGACTCAAAAGCCAGACATCATTGATATTTTGTCTGGCCGGGCCACGTCTTCCGCGCCGACAACAACAGCCAGACAGCAGTCTTCCTTTTCCACCACCACCCGTCGTGTCTCTACTGCAGATGGCGCCTTGAACGTGTTTAGTTTGACCGTCCCTCAGGGCGAGGAGAAGCGTGCCCGCACCTTTTTGGAACGTATCAAGACCGTCTTGCAGGTTGAGCCTGGGAAGTTGCTTTTTTGAAAAGTCTCGAAAAGATGTGATGTGTTTAGTGCATTGCATGCACTGCATGGCTCGCAAATTGTACTGTACTGTACGTTCTGATTACTTTACTCCAGTACAGTAGTAGGTGGTTGGTTGGTCGCCTGTGTGTTTCTAGTGCAGGAATCCATTGGGATGGTGGATTGAGCAGAGCAGAGCAGAGCGTGCAAAACTTATGCAGTGTTGTAGCCCTTCGAGTTACCTTATACCTTACTAGTATTCTATAGACGGGAGTTGTATTGTGTCGTGCCATGCCCCCTGGTTTACCAAGTCTACTGTCAATTCTTTCTACTCTCAGTACAATTCATACGGCGGCGCTTCAATAATGGATGATGGATTGGTTTTCTTGATGGCGACAATCGCGCCGACTAGACTGGCACAGGCACTGTAACTCTATTACTCTGCGGTGGGAGAGCTCTGGAAGTCATTAAATCGAGTCAAAAATGCAGAAAAACTACTTCGCCATGTCAGAGCCAACGTTAAATCAATGCTTGCTTGCTTGCTACTGTATCAACCCGGCGCCATGCTAACAAATCCGAGGGCCTTTCCCCGACCCCAAATCTCATGCGCTCAACCCTGAATCGATGATTTTCGATCTGAGCAAAAGCTTGCCACACCTGTCCTATCATGTCGTGGTCATCTGTCCTCAAGAAACGAGGACCGTTGCTGTTCAGCTTGCTATTTCAAGCTGGCATTGGGTGTAAAAGAGATGAAAATGTGCAGCTCGCAGAAAAATCCGCCGTGTATACCCAACCGTAGGTAGGTGGCACGACATCCTCGAGTTCCGCGGGATCCTGTACATCCTGTAGAGTTGGGGATTCCAGGTTTGATGACCTTCCGAGAATGAAGTCGTGAGGCATATATCTTGAGCTTCGTGTGATTCGTGAAAAGCTGGGTTTGTTTGAACATCATCACAGGTAGGCACCGAGTCTAACGGATCGCGCCCCAGTCGCCCAGCCGGCCCGATATCCCATCACTATTTCGGCCCTCATTGCCCTTCTTGCCAAACACGCGCCAGAATCGCAATGTTTCATCACCTGCTCCGGTCACAATCGTGGTCCCGTCTGGGCTTGTGCTCAAGTAAAGTACACGGAACGTATGTCCAGTGAGGCTGACCACTTGCTCCATTTTGGGGTATTTCCACACCACAATCTGGTTCTGGCTATAACCATGTGTGCTGACAATCTCGTCGCTGTTCTTGCTCCATGCAAGATTGCATACCTGACTCCCTGTATCGACCTCCTTGATCAGGGAGCCGTTTGAGGTGTTCCAGAATTTGATTGTTCGATCTGCCGTACCACCTCCGGATGCTAGTAGATGGTGCTGATGAGGACTCCATGCGATGGCTTTGACTGCGGCCACGTGGTTCGAAAACCGGTAGCGGGGCGTGTCGGAGAGTTTGTCCCAGACGATCAGCTTGTTGTCGTTGCCCCCCGAAGCAAGTTGCCCATCTTCAGTGTTCCATCTCAGTCCACAGACTTCTTGCTTGTGTCCAGCCAATCGCCGCAGATATTGGTCAGGACTGCGAACATCTCGATGATAGATCAAACGATCCCTTGATCCAGAAGTCAGAATATGGTCGTTCCAAGCTAGCGCACCAACCCTGGCGGTATGACCGGTCATTGTCCGTAGTCTTCGACCCTTCTCCGCATCGTAAATCTGGACAAAGCCCTTGTGCGTTCCAATGGCCAAATGTGATCCTCGTTGTATCCAGGACACAGATGTCACAAGGTCATTGTCGGGTAGCTTGCACAACTGCGTGACTTTGCCTGTAGTACTGTTCCACATGTAGACACATGACCCGAGGCCCACACCGAGGATGTTGGCCGATCCCCAATCCACCAGATTGAGATAGAAATCATCTGCCAACTCAGGAGCATCAAGCACTTTAAAAGGTACCTTGGCAATCGGACGGGGTTGCTTTCGAGGGGTCTGCAGGATGGACTGTGACGAGTAGTTGATGGGTGATATGGAGTAGAGGTCGGATCTTGCGTTCAAATTGATTATCCCAGGATGCTTCGCTGCTCTCGAGGAAGGGGTTGGATGGCCAGATCCTATCACTTTCTGGGGTGATTTGTAGGAGAACATGTTTTTGTGAGGGGTAGTCGGTGTGATGGACGCAGGTGGAAGCGCCGAAGCTGATGGTTGTCCTGGAGGTGTCTGCCGACGGCCAAAGAGGTCATCAGGAGTGTCGTATCTGTAGTCTTGTGGTACTGAATCGCCCATCAACTCATTGCGCAGCACTTTCGAGTAGGTTCTGTTGGCCTCTTCTGTTCGCTGGAAATGAAGCTCCCCATTCGGCGTCTTCTTCTTTGACCTCGAGGGCGTGGCTGGCGATCCGTCGTCGAGCAACAGACTGTAACTGGCTTGCAGGTCTTGTCCATCTCTGTTGGGAATGAACCTGGATTTGATTGTCAGAATTGCACCAAACACGAGTTGAAGCTAACCTACCGATCTCCGTATATCCGCTGCCTCTTTCGGCTAGGACTGCGCCCCGGTGTCCTCTCTCTTTGGCGACCTGCGCTTTCGATCTCCTTTAACCGGCGATGCAGGGCGTCTGCCTCCATCGCCTCCGTGGCACGCTGAATTGCCGACATCCCCTCGTTGTTCCCGGTAAACCGCTTGCTCGATATGGTGGGAGGAGTTTTGGAGCCGACGGGAGTAGGTAACGACGGTGTCCGGGGACGCTGGGAGGGATCGATACTTAAAGGAATTGAGGATTCTTCCGCCATTGTGATGTTATCTGGAGATGACACGGTGAGGATTATTCTGGCCGGGTGACGGATGGAGCCCCAGTGAAGTCAAAGTGAGACTGAAGTGAAGTGCTTGTAACGAGATCCAGACAGGGCAGTTTTCCGGGAAGAGTGGCCGTGTGGTAACTCTGCTCGCTGTGTTGACGGTCTCCGCAACCGCGACCGCCTGCCGCCCTGATACAATAAACCCGGCAAACAAGGGAGCGAAAGATTATGAAATAAGGTCAGGACATTGTTCGGTGATAGATGGCTGCAAAAAAGCAAATATCGAGAATTATCGTGGCAGAAAGGCAAGGCGGTGGGCTGGGAGTGCGGTGATTGTGGTCTGGTGGCAGCAATGAGAGTGAATGTTCGGATTCCTCCAGAGACGATGCTGTAGACAGAAACAGCCGCCCTGCACAGGCCAGAGCAGTTCACTGGCAGTTCACGTCCACTGCAAGTTCCAGTTCCCGCCGCTTCTGGACCCGCCAAGCGGTCTATTCCGAACTCGGATGCTTACTTCCACACCTTAAGTGCCTTACTAACCAAACAACACTATTGTTACAGCTCTTGATCAGTATCACTGGCAGGATTCCATTGTTATATTGTAGTACCTTAGCTGGTGTGCAATAAGTCTTCGATGAGGACATAGTTATGAGCACGCATACATCGTCCACGGTATCGGCAGCACCCAATAGACATACCTTAAGGTACTCGAGTTCCTGGTGTTGAGGTCTGCATGCCTTGCTGGGAAGTATATCGACGTTAACCACAACGTACCAGTAAATAAGACCAAAGACAGTAGCAGGTCTAATAACCACGATCTCACTTTACGCGGCCAGGTGCCGACCATGCGCGCGAGTCCAGAACCGCGTGTTTTTGTTTTGATCGGCAAGGGAGTCGCATTGTTATCGACTTCGCGTCTAAGACCATCTCGGATGCTGCCTTAAGGGTGCAGATGCATGGATGTCTGAGAGATGCCTGCAAAGCCAGACCTTGGTTCGATGAGAAGAACGCATGGTTGTAACCCGGTGGTTCTACTGAGCTGCAAGCCTCAGGCTGCAATTGTCCAGTCATAATTGGCTACTGGAAGCATCACCATTTGATCGTCTGCAGCCTGAGTTTAGGAAGCCCAGACGCCTATCAAGCGTGGTGATAGTGAATCCTGGGGAAGCCCAGAGAGCCTGCTGGGTGCCGGGTGAACAGGCTCCACAGCGCCCACAACCCACCTGAAGCAGCTAAACTGAAGTGGTAGTAGTGCCTTGTCAGGCATGCATTGGCGATTGTGTCTTTATCGGCTCTCCATCATTCCAAAGGCCCATGACCGACTTCAAGTTCTCTCCATACCGTTGCTCCCTCGCTGATTTACATGCACCTGCGCCTCATATTCAGAGGCAGCCCGAAAGCCAGATTCTATTCCTCCCTGACACCCACAAATAACACGAAAATGGCATCCGGGTTCATCGATTTCGTCAATGCCTCGCCTACCCCGTTCCACGCAGTCAAGTCAGTCAAGGAACGCTTGACCGCTGCCGGCTTCAAGGAAATCAAGGTCGGTCTTACTGCGCATCCTTTGTTGCAAGCGTTTTGGCGATTGACTGGTTTTATAGGAAAAACAATCGTGGTCGTCCACCTGCGTCCCCGGTGGAAAATACCTCCTCACACGGAACGGCTCTACTATTGTAGCTTTTGCGATTGGCAAGAGATGGAAGCCAGGCAATCCAATCTCCATGATAGGTGCCCACACCGACTCGCCATGCCTTCGAATCAAGCCGGTAAGCAAGAAACAAAGCGATGGGTTTCTGCAGGTGGGAGTGGAAACTTATGGAGGCGGTCTCTGGCACACATGGTTTGATCGAGACCTGGGCATTGCAGGCAGGGTCATGGTGCGAGGCGATGATGGAAATGTGGTGCAAAAGCTGGTTCATATCGACAAACCAATTCTGCGGGTTCCAACTCTTGCCATTCATCTCGACCGTCAGGAGACATTTTCTTTCAATAAAGAAACCCAATTGTTCCCCATTGCCGGACTGGTTGCTGCGGAGCTCAAACGTCAAGATGAAAAGAAGGCCAAATCAGGGGCAAAAGATGAAACCGTGGACGAACAAACGAAACCATTCGCACCTCTGAAGGCCTTGACCACGAGACATCACCCTTATATCGTTGAACTTGTTGCCTCAAATGCAGGAGTTGCGCCGGAGCATGTGATCGATTTCGAGATAGTCCTCTATGACACGCAGAAGGCCTGCATAGGTGGTTTGAATGACGAGTTCATCTTTTCTGCGAGGCTGGATAATTTGAACCAAACATATTGTGCGACCATGGGATTGATCGATTCACTCAAAGAACCATCTGCGCTTGACCAGGAATCATCTATCCGCTTGATAGCCTGTTTCGACCACGAAGAGATCGGCAGCATGACCGCCCAAGGAGCCTTTTCCATGATGCTGCCAGGTATCATCCGCCGGCTCTCTGTCCTGCCGGCCGCGGCATTTGCGGAGAACAACTCTGAGCAGTCTTACGATCATGTGGATGAGACGGACACATCTACGGCATACGAGCAAACACTCTCGAGCTCTTTCCTCCTGTCCGCGGATATGGCGCACTCAGTTAATCCCAACTATGGGGCTAAGTATGAGTCCGACCACAGACCAGAAATGAACCAAGGTCCGGTGATCAAGATCAACGCGAATGCCAGGTATGCAACCAACTCGCCTGGGATTGTATTATTACAAGAAGTCGCGAGAAAGGCGGCAAAGGTCAAGGACAGTGACCCTGACGGTGTGCCGCTGCAACTGTTTGTGGTTAGGAACGATTCGAGCTGCGGGAGCACCATTGGCCCGATGCTGTCGGCTCACCTTGGTGCTCGCACGCTCGATATCGGCAATCCCCAGCTGTCCATGCACAGCTGTCGCGAAACCGGTGGAGCGGATGATGTGGGCCATGCCATCAGGCTTTTTAGCAGCTTCTTCCAGCATTATTCCGAGTTGGAGAAGACGATATTGGTTGACTAGGGCAGTTGTGCTAAGCATGAGAAGATGATATATACGTTCAAGCAAGGGATGCGCGCAAGGAGGTCATGGTCGATCAACCCGGGAATTACTTGATACCAGATTGGCACAAGCGACTAGCCTCTGGCGGCACGATTGCTCACCTTTCCGGACACGGTCTGAAAGCAAAATAGCAAAGTGAGGGTTTGTGGTTCACAAAGGACTGGTAAGGGGCGCTGTTGACGAGATCGAGTGGATAAGAGTGTTGCAACTGAAGCGTTGATGTTGAGATGTAGTGGCATAGCGGCGGTGTTAGGTGTCTAGGGGATGTGAGCCTCAGCTGTGTATTGCAGTGTACAACTACAATGTGCCAGGGAGTATGGCAAGGTGTTTTTGGTGGAGAGGATGTGACGAGGCTACGAGGCTGAGAGACTGCGGGGTGACGCAGCGACGAGATGATGCGCACTAAATAATTGTAACAAAACAACGTCGACGCCACGACACCAGTACCTAAAAAAGAATCTGAGTGCGATCCATTAGATTTTTCAGCATAAACCCGAAGTTTGCTCTGCTTCAGTCATACTACCTACACTGCAGGGCATCTCACCTCCCGCCGCCATGTCAACGCCCGAACACCTCACGGGCAACAAAGATGCCATTCGGCAGTTCATAGACAAGTACGATGTCCGTTGCCGTCTCCTCTCCCAATATGCTATTGCCGCCACGGCCCTTGACTAAATGTCTCGATACTAACAATTGCTACGCAGGTATTTCTATTCGACTGCGATGGCGTCCTTTGGTCCGGCGACCACTTGTTTCCAGGCAGCGTGCCAACACTCGAAATGTTGCGCAAGAAGAACAAACGGATCGTCTTCGTGACCAACAACTCGACCAAGTCGCGGGAAGAATACCGCAAGAAATTGGAGTCTATGGGCATCCCCGCAACAGTAGAAGAAGTATTTGGATCATCATACTCGGCGGCCATCTACATTTCACGAATCCTGCCTCAGACCCATCCGGAAATCAAAAAGAGGAACAAGGTGTTTGTGATAGGCGAGGCGGGCATCGAAACCGAGCTGGCCTCCGAAGGCATCGAGTATCTCGGAGGCACGGATCCCAAGTACCGACGCGACGTGACACCGGAGGACTACAAGTTGCTTGCGAAGGGAGACCCGTCGGTACTGGACCCGGACGTGGGAGTCGTGCTCGTCGGTCTTGATTTTCACTTCAATTACCTCAAGCTCTGCTATGCATACCACTATATCAAGCGTGGTGCTCTGTTTCTCGCTACAAATCTTGACTCGACACTGCCCTCTGCGGGTGCTTTGTTCCCTGGTGCGGGATCGGTGGTCGCCCCGCTGGTCAAAATGTTGGGGTGTCCCGAGCCCATGGCGTTTGGGAAGCCGAACCAGGCTATGATGGATGCCATTGAGGGAAAGTTTCATTTTGATAGAGAAAAGGCTTGTATGGTTGGTGATCGGACTAATACGGATATTCGGTTCGGGAGGGAAGGAAAGCTCGGGGGTACCCTGGGTGTTTTGACGGGTGTCGCTACGAAAGAAGAGTTTCTTGAGGGTGAGGTTAGGCCGCATTATTATGTCGATAAGCTGGGTGATTTGCTAGAGGGGGCTTGAGTGATTGGAGTTGTCACCATTGGCAATGCAAAAGGGAAAGAAGGCCAAACACGTCCAGGGAGAGCATGGTGCTGCAATAGACGTTTGCAATATAAGACAGACGATATAACGAGCATTACACAGGCCAATACAGTACTGGCTTGGTAGAGCGGGGACAATGGAATCAGGACATGAAATGCAGTGCAGTGCAACGAGACTCAGACGATCCTGCCAGTACCATCTGGTCAATCGGCATGCCCATCGTTATACCAATAGTGTCAATCAATACTCGCAATATATCTTTGCAACTCTCGTCAACCTCCAATCACTGTCACTGTCGTCCGCCATCTCTAGAAAATTACTCGCCCGCCCAACCCATTCTCCAACATCCTTATGTCCAAAGTACGCATACTTCTCAATCCAAGGACACGCATCCAACCAAGGCAGCGCCTCTCTCAGAAAGCCACAGACTTCGTCCACCGTCGTCTCGCCTTCGCCCATCTTCGAGCAAGCAAATTCATTCAGCCAAACCGGCAGACCGTACGTCTGATGCATGTCCTCGAGAAACTGTCGCAAATCAACGAATCTGAACCCATACCAATGCAGCACGAGGAAATCGATCCCACCTTTGGGATCCTCACTGCTTTGTGTCATGGCTAGAAACGAATCCAACCACGGCTTGCTTCGCCCCATATCGCTGCTCATGCCCGGACTGCCCAGCCTCAAGCCGAATTTTGATTTCGCCGGCACCACGACGTCTTTCCATAAAACACTAGCAGTCTCAACATCCAAGTTGGCCTGGCTGGGGATTTCCGGCTCGTTGAAACCTAGTAGGGCTGAGGGGACAACACGGCTTTGGGCAGTTGATTTGGTGATAATGTCAAGTAGGAACGGGTCAATGTCTTTGATGTGCGATGATGTTCGGATGCAGGGGACCCATTCGAGTGTTTGGGGTAAGGAGTCTGGTTGCCATAGTTCCCAGTTGAATAGCCATGAAATCTTGCCTGGCAAAGTGGAGCTGGAGCTTGATGATGGTGGTGGGGACTGTGAAGGAGCAAGATAAGGCTCGAATAATGCGAAATGTGTGCCTGGTTGGTCCCAGGGCCAGCAGAGGCCTCGTTTTCCTAGAGTTTGCTGAATTGCAGGGTGTAGACCTGAAGATCTGGATACTAGTGATGCTGGTTTGGGCGGAGGTGGAGGAGGAGGAGGTTTGGACTTGCGAGGCATCTTTGAATCTAGAGTAGAGGCTGGGTGTAATGGCGAACTCGGTGGCTGTCAAGTTTCCACCTACGATTCACCAGCTCACTCGATCAGCGCGAGGCGACCGTGTTGTAAGTACGTTGAAACCATCTACCTAGGTATGTGCTAGGCTCTTTGGTCGCTTTGGATGTTAAGTTACAGTACGCCTCAAATCAGGCTGAGTGGTGCCAAGCGCCATCGAGTTGAGCTGCCAGTGGCAGTGTTTTGTTCTGGAACAAGGCTCTCGTTTTACTTCGTCATCAGGTATGGTCTCAGTTGACAACATCGCCGTCGACCTGAGCCCTGACAGGCTATGCACTTGTTCGGTAGGTTGACGTGCAGGGAGAACGACGGTCGTGATCGACGGAGCAACGTCAGCGCGGTCTCCCGTGCCTACAACAGGATCAATGGATCATCTCGACACACATGATCTATCCAAAATGAAGGTAACACGTTGGTTCTCACCACGATAGAACCATAGGACTAAGAATACCGCTACGAAGATTCGCTCTGCAACTGTTTCACGCACTCTAGTCCTTTAATGCTTCATGCTTTTGTGCGCGGATTTGGTCCAGTCTCTCCTTGGCCTGTTCATTCGCCTTCTCAATGGCTTCTCTGGCACCCGACCATGCTTTCCTCCGATCACTTTCAAAAAGCCGATAGATGTGAGGACTCAAAATCCCATCCAGCAGCATCTTGCAGAGCTGTGGATCACGCAACCAAAACCTCCATCCTTGAATCCCATACCCCAGCTGCTCCGAGACCCGCACACCGGCAGTATCTTCGGCCCATTCCACCCATTCCGGTGCGTTGACCAGACGGGGATTGAAGGGGCCTCTGTCAGCGATGGACTGGGCCCAATTCAAATGCCGTTGCACCGACTTCATCATCTCGTCTTTCGACGGCAGCAGCGCCCCCGGATTCTTCCATACCTGCGCCATTGCCATTGAGGCCAGGTCGAACGTCTGGAAAATGGGTGCCGGATGAGCCGCCGTCCCGGCAAATGCCAGACTGTCGGGGTGTTGCAGTGAGAAGATGTTACGATACAGTCGCGGAATCGACAATGGATGCTTCTCTGTTCGGCCGCCATCGTGCACGACATTGTAATGCGCGTCCGAGTGCAAAGTTGGATCAAATTCGCCGACAAGGCTAAAATCCACTTTGTATCCCGTGCACCAGATGATACTGTCCACTTCAATTTGCTCGCCGTCCTCCAGTTCAACGTTGCTTGGCCCTGTTACCTTGGACGGCCCCACTGTCGAATCGATATGGCCCTTCTCCAGCTCTTCCACCAAGTTGTCCGAAATGGTTGGTATATGGTGGGCTATCGAGGGCGCCGGACTTAATTTCCATTCATCCCTGATGCGAAACACCTTGTCTTGAAGACCCTTGACGAAGGCATTACTGACTTTCTCCGCCAGCCCAGGTGCCCATTTGGCCATTTGGAGTTGTATCATTGTCTTTCTGTATGTCATGGTGTGGTCAAGAACTGTGCCGTCAGGAAAGATGCGAGGCAGCTGGCAGGCATAACGTCAACTTTGAGCGGCAGATTGCAAAAACTGTATACCAATTGCGTCCACTTACCATGATGGACCCTTGTCGATGTGAAAGGTATACCTTTGCCGCAGTGCCCACCAAAACGGTAGCCACATCGGCTGCCGTGTTCCCCAGCCCAACCACCATCACTCTTTGATTCTTGAACGCTTCGGGTCTGCATGGAATGGAATCAGTGACAGCCTCGTGGGATGGCCCGAGTGGGACTATACTGTATACTTACCTCTTAAAGTCTCGAGAGTGAAGGATCTTGCCTGCAAATCCTTCCTGACCCTCAAGGGTTGGAATATTAGGTTTGTTATTTGTTCCATTCGCCACGACCACTTTATCGAAGCTCTGCACTGTTTCACCACCGCTGGTGTCTTTGACTGTGAGCACCCATTTCTGGTTTTGCTCGTTGCGGCGAACATTGGTAACGGTCGTCTCCAGCTTCAAATGAGACATGAGACCAAAGTGTTTTGCATAGTCGGCCAGATACCGTTCCACATCCGCTGCGGTGGGATATAATGGTGTATCTGACATGGCACAGCTTAGCTCAGCTTGATTACTGCAACAGTATCGACCAGATTGTGTTCTCTCAACTTACCATCAGGAAACGGAAAGTCGGTAAAACACCCCTGAAAGGAGGATAGGGAAGAAATTAGCTGGCTGTTGACTGGACTGTCTTTCACGCAGAACCCGTTTTTTCCCACTCACCCGTTGTTTCGTGATATTGGCAATCGTTGCTGATGAAAAGACACCGAGTTGAGTGGTGACTCTGACGGGTCGGAATTGGTTCTAGTTGCTCACATTGAAGCGCAGATGTCTGCGCATCCTCTGTGTATTTCCACAGGCCTCCCACGTACGGGTTCTTCTCGAAACCCGTCACGTCAAAGCCTTCTTCTAGCAGATTTTTGACAGTCACTAATCCAAGGGCGCCTTTGCAGACAGACGGTTCAAGTTTGTCACTAAAAATATTCCTCGCATGAGTTCAAAAAAAGGGGGAATCCGGCTTACCGAGCCCAATTACGGCAACAGTGCTGGAGGCGGAAGGAGATGCCATTTTTCTTGTGAAGAAGTCAATATCGACGATGCCAGGGCAGTGACAGCAAAAGAAATCCCGTCAAATATGGTCGGGTTGTGCACACGACAACAGGCAGCGTAAACACTTTATCTATTTATTGCTAGTACACGACAATCTGAAGTACTCAGTAGTACTATAATACTGCGAGATGCAATACTCTCCGACCTATAAAGCGCTGTTCAACACGGGGTATACATTGCACCTCCACATTGAGGACCTTAACCGCGCATTGCCCTGCCCAGCCTTGCCCAGCTGGGCAAGAGAGACTCGTGAAGTGCTTGTCGTTCGGCATCATATGCACGAGTGCGGATTGACATGGGATGGACGAACGAGGTTTGGTTCGAAAAGGCCAATGTAAAGCCAAGATGCAGGTTCGCTTCCTGTAGCGAAGACGTTACCTACAGGAAGGAAGGTTAGGGACGTTGCGGGTCAAAAGTCTCCGTGGGTGGGATGAGCCCAGGCTCTTTCACACCAATAAATTAAATAAATCTTACATACCTAGGTTTTAGCTGTAGGCTGATACTTTTCATTAGACATGGCAGAGCCTCGGAATAGCGAGGAAAGTCTACAGTTCACAATCTAAATTATAGCAACTGATTCTGAAGTACATAGAACCCCCAGATCGCGGAGACTTTTGCATGACAGGGGGTAGGGGAGGACCGGGAGGTTGGGTGGGGAGTGTATCCACACTGGCATGTGCCGCAAGGCTGTCGCGGACTTTGACTTTTTGCCTGTGAAATCGGGTAAGCCGATACCGGGGTCAACGTGCCCTTGGCGGAAGTCAAACATCATTATTCAGAACTTGGAAACCTTCCATCCTTTCGAAAGTGTAGAAAAGGGATATTCGACTACTCCAGTGGCTGTCATGATTACGATCGGATCATCAATATTTTCAGAGTGACTTTTGTACCAATTCAAGTTCCTCAGGGGTCGCCTGCCCACGTTGGCTCATGCCAGTGGCTGTGTGTATGAATGGACTGGATGACCGACATTATTGAGCCGACATTGTCAAGTCTGTCTGACTTCTTGAAAGAAAAAAAATAAAAAAAACAGAAAAATTAAAAAAAGAATATATTCAAAAAAAGGAAGGGAAAAAGAAAAAGAAAAAAAAAGCATTTTACATAAAGGTGAGGGACCTCGGAGCACTCCTCGGTACATTGTCGAAGCTCGAGTTCTTCACCCATCGATACTGCACTGCAAATGTGGACCACTATCGAGGCTACCTGAGTACTCGAGCAGCGGCTGGCTGTACCAAAGAGGCGTTTGTCACAGAGGTGAGTCTGACCATCCTCCTCACTTACTGCAGCATCCACACGGCAGCTCTGCTGAACTCTGCAAGCAATCTGCCAGTGGACTGTTGCTATTGCCGTTGCCGCCGCAGACAACTTGAATGCTGTAACAAACTTCGCTGGCGCAGTAACTGAACAGGCCGACTCCCTTTCTCAGAAAAAGACCCTTGACGCGTGCCAGACTGAAGAGAAAGTTTATGTTTCCAACCAATGCTTTGCGGCCATGTCAACAATAGCGGCAAAACTGGCAAGCAATACTGTGTCCCTTCCAGATTATGTGAAAGGTAAATCCACACTATTACGTTAGGTCCCTTGGGATTCATATCGGAAAGCTTCCCTCCGAGTCCTACAACGGCTGCAGGGTCCACGGGCTACCATCTGATCGTCCATGGAAGGACCGTTTGCAGCCCCAGCACGCAGGACGTCCCTCATGGTCGTGCAAGGGAGCTTCAAGCACGCAGACCAGAGCTTGAAACGCGTTCACTTCAGGGGTAGGTCCTTTGCCCATGCCGCGTAGGTATTTGCAGAGAGCCTGCAACACATCCACAGGTAAGGCGTTCGCCCAAGCTGCATACCTGAGGGATTGCCAGACGGCAGAGCATGAGGCCCAAGTATCTCTGTCTGCTTGCGGCTTCAACAGGTGGGTTCGAAGGTTTGAAGTCTTTTGGTTTGGTCGGAATGGTTACAACTTACTACACCCAAACAGGTGTTCTCTTGGGAAAGGCGTTCTCGGTGAACCATACCGTCGACGCCGATGCTGAAGCTTTACGGCATACGGTACGCGTCTCGACAGGTCCTCCTGAACCAAACCCGTGCCCTCGTCGCGCTCCGGGCGGACTGGATCACGCCGGCACCAACACCGCGAACCCTCTCCACCACGACGTTGCCACGTTATGTATATATATTGGTCTCTCTCATGCTCCCCATGGCCAACAAGATATCAACTTTTGTATTACTTCGATAGCACAACACAAACTCTGGAGTTAACGTCAACCTCTTAGCCACGAGAAGCCCTCCAAACTTATCCACACTTGAGATCCTGGAGCTCATACACCTCAGCCACCAGAACCCCTCCCAATACATTCACACTTTGACAAACCTCCAGCTTGACACCATAGCCACCAGAATCCCTGCAACACAAACACATCCACATCCACACTCTCCTCCACCAACCATGTCTTCCTCTTATTCTTTCTCCTCCTCCCTCCCCTCTCTTCCATCGGGCCCAGGTCCCCGATCATCCTTCGGCACCACGACTGTTCCTGGGTCCTTGCCGTCCACCAGCTACAACACGGCCTCCTCCCTCTCCGACCTCAGACACCGCCAACGATACCAAGAACTGAACGAACGCCTGGCAAGCCTGGTGGCCGACAGAACACCGGTCGACACCACCACCTCGCCACCGGCACCGATGCCAGTGGTGCCGCTGGTACCGGGTGCGGACCTGGATCAGCAAATAGAACAGCTGATCTCCGAGCGAGAGCGGGAACTCGTCCTCGATCTGGATCTGGATCTGGAGAACGCCAATGACAACAACGACAACGATGGCAACATTGACCTCCCCCCGGTAGTTATGAGCAAGCCTGTCTCGCCTCCTCCGGGTACTGATGTAGGATACACGTTTCCTGCCTCAGGATACCATCGCTCCTCTTTTCTCCCGCTCGACTACCCCCTTTTGCCGGTTGACACCAACTCGGTCCAGTTTCTCGAAGAGCCGGCGGCCGCCATGGACAACCACTACTATTACAATCGTCAGCAACGGTACGGGCGACCACCACCGCCGTATCGACATCGACAGTTTCAACAACAACAGGTATTACCACCACCATTTCCGGCTGGCCAGCGAGAGGTCCTGGCAACGTTCAGCCCCAGGGAACAAGGATGGCGTCCATCTCAACGACGGACCTTCACTGCTTCAAGATTTGGCGCTGTGGGGGAGCGTCTGGCGCCTGTATATGAGTCTGCGTCGTAGAGCAGTTCAGTGGTGGTCGTGGAGACAGCGATGACGTATAGCTACCTGCCAACCACTACTACTAGTAGTGGTAGTGGTAGTGGTAGTGGTAGTGAGAGCCAGTGGGCTCCGGGTGATGGGTGCTGGGGGAAAGCACCCGGGTCAAGTAGCTTAGATACGTCTTAGTATAAGACACCTAATAGGGGTGTCCAATGTCAGAACGACTCCCAAAGAACATTACATTACATTGTCTATCCGTTCTATTCCATCTAGTACCTACCCTGCCCTGTGCATGTATGCGTCTGTCCCCTGAACAGTGCCGGCATGAGGGTTTTTGGCGCCGGCGGTCCTTCTACAGACAAGATCGAGATACTCAGCCTGCGGTCACCCACCCCTTTTTCCCGTCTCTTCGGACCGCATTCGCCAACCTCGTTGACCAGCTTGGCTACCCACTCTCATAGCCGGGGAAGATAATCGCCCTGTGGCGAGGAGAATAGGTGGACCGTGGGCTGTGATAGTCGAAGAGTCGGCCGGCATCCTCATCTTCTTCGGCAAGGATTTCGTGTTCGTTGATATTGCGCAGGAAACGGCTGGTAGGGCGAAGGCAGCTCTGGCCCCCGAAGTCACAATTACAGATTTGAAATTTCTGGTAGAAGTCTGCATGTAGTATATAGCCATTCGTCTGGGTGTACAACCTGTGGTTGGACGTACCTAGTAAATCGCCAGGATTCGATCGCACACAGTGTTCCCCGGCACAGCAACCATGGAGACCGCAAATGACAGGCTCAAAATCCTACAGCCGACGTACTCTTCCTCAGACCCAGATACAGTGCTTCATAGGCATGGATAAGATGTTGAATGGGTCCTACACAAGACAATAGCATACAGATCACTATGAACAGTGAGTGTCCCCAGCAGGCCAGGTATGTACCTATGTATGAATAAAATGCATTGATACCTATGCAACAAGTGTACAGCGCCCAGTAACCGATATCAATTGCCAACTAGTAAGATCTTGCAGTTCTGCCGCGCCCATCCAGTCATTCTTGACCATCAGAAAACGACTTAGCAGATCCAGATGCACATGTAGCCTTTCGATCTGAAAGTAGACCGCCGCTCTCGGAATCATGCAGGATCTGAGCCCCCGTGGCTCTAGCCAATCCAGGCCGTTCTTCCTCCCTGCCGTTCTGTGACGGGGTTTCATCCAGCAACGGGATACGGTCGATGCTTTTTCTCTTGCTCTTGTCTCCGTCGACGCATTCGCTGGTAGGAGTGGTGCCGCCGATCTGACCTTCTCCATCCAACGGACCTGTAGGCGGACTCATCATGGCACCGGGGCTGTTCTGCCATCGGGCCACCTCGCGCTTCATTTGCTCCAGTTCCTTCTCGAACCTCTTGCCAAAGATGTCCATGTAATACACCGCCCCGTTCCAAACGCTCCACGTAAACACCGCCATGAGGAACGTGGCGCTAGCCCAACGGTACCAAAACCAGAGGGGACACGGAATGATGGTGAGCAAGGCATAAAGATACTGGATGAGCATGAATGCTGGCTCTTGCAGGCTTTCCGGTAGGGAAATGACAAACTTCCCCAACCAGGTCTTTGCGTACGACTTGCGTAGCCAGGTAAATGAGGTAGGTCGCCCTGCCGCAATCTGTTCCCGGCGTCGTACGGTGATGAAAAAGTGATATGACAATTGCCACACGATATAAGGGATGGTTGCCCACCCGAGCATGGCTGTCAGGGTGTAGTGTTCCGGCAAGCCGGGAGCGCTGTGCTTGATGTCGTACACGGCCGGAAACCGTCGTTGCAGAAAATCTTCGGACGTCAGATGCACAATACAATGTAGAGCTGCCGGAGGCATCACATGGATGAAGAGACTGGTGACTTTATCCAACGAGTGGAAAACCAACGAATTCCTCCACATGGCAATAGCCACTGCATTGTTGCCATACGCGAGACAGTAGGTGCTGATGAAGAGGCGTTTGGATCGAGGAAACACCCATATGCACAAGAGACAGAGAAAATTCACAAAGTAACATAGATCCGCTAGGAAATAGTGGTAGCCCTTCCGCCGGTAGGTGATGAATCTGATGGGCATGAAATAAGCCAGTTGGATCGTGAACCAATAGTAAAAATATTCCGGTACAGCGCCGATCAGATAGCCGGTGAGGAAGACATTGAGCACGGCCGAGATAAATGACACCTTCTCCCGCATTGTTATCGTCATTCTCTCGTTCCATCTCTTGCTGAGGTCGTCCACGGACTTCTTCATTCGGGACCGGTACTTTGCGAGCTGCTCGTCGGCCGTGGGGACTCGTTTGCGCCATTCGGCCATGGCCCGGTCTTTGGCATTGTTCCCTGACGTGCGTATCCTTTCCTGCCGTTTAGCCAGCTTATCTTTCTGCGCGGCCAACGTTGCCTGCCACTTCTCGAGCTTCGACGGCAAGGATAAATTCTCGAAGATATCGAAGAATGTGATTTTATCCAGGGGGATTTCCCAATCTTCTTGCATTGACTGGCTCCCAGTGTACGAGTTATTGCGTGACAGAAGGTAAGGGCTTCCGGGTGTTGACGATTGATAACCTGGGGTCAGGTAATCTGTCGAGTCCATAGAGGGCAGACTTCCAGGCATATCGGCCGCAGCGGCCTCGTCCATGTTGGTGGCCATGGACTTGGACCGCGGAATAGGTATCGGTTCAGTCATGATGAGATGTTATCGCAGCGGGAAGTCGGCACTATATGATAGATGGCATACCCAGGAGGTCAGGCGGGAGGACTCGCGCGTGCGTGTTCGTGTGCTGCTGACCGACGATCCAAGAAGAGAAAAACATCCACTGACCATGCTGTAGATTGAAAGCACGAGTTGGATTTGAGGACGAGACGCTGGACGTTCTGGCGAGGCAGACGGTCAAAGGCGTGCGAGCATCAGGCGAGTTGACTGGGCGGAACTCAGACGTCACAGGTTGATGGCGATAACATCGTTGACGGCGCTAGCCTAGCACTAGAATCACAAGCTAACCTAATCTGGGGCACCCAATCCTCCAAGTACTCTATTAATCCTTTGTAACCTGTTTAAAGTGCTTGCTGCAACTCTTAGCGGCAGCCCATCGCCGCTAGTCGGCCGCCATCCCCTTTCCGCACTCTGTCCACTCACTTCTATTTTCCAGCGACGCGCACCGCGTCGTGAACCCAATCCAGTCTTCATTGCACCACCGCGCGTTCCACCCTTCGATTTGCGCTCAACTTGCACAGGAGATCCTGTGTTCGTTTCGTCGCATGCGAAGCGCCATTACTAGACAATATTTACAGCCGTGATGGTCACAAGTCCGGTCCCATTGGACTTCTCATAGCCCCCTCGCAAAGCATTTCACCCTCAACCCCGCGCCAGGCGCAAACTCCGTCACCATGGGGAAACTCATCAGGCTCGAACTGTTCAATTTCAAGTCCTACAAGGGGCATCATGTGCTTCTCTTCGGCGACGCCTTTTTCACTTCCATCATCGGCCCCAATGGCTCAGGCAAATCGAACGCGATGGACGCAATTTCCTTTGTGTTAGGCATTAAATCATCTGCCTTGCGGTCCACCCACTTGAGGGAACTGGTATATCGCGGCCGGGTCCTGCGCAAGTCGACGGCGAATGGAGAGGGGCGCGTGGAAGCGGAGGATGGTCAAGGAGAAGAAGAAGCGCCCAGTCAGACCAATGGCACGCAGGAGCGCAACGATCCAAAGTCCGCATGGGTCATGGCAGTGTACGAAGATGACGCAGGGATTGAACAAAAGTATAAACGAACAATTACCAACCAGGGCGCTTCGGAATATCGCATCAACGAGCGAGTCGTGACCGCGCAGCAGTACAACGAATCTTTGGAGGAGGAGAATATCCTCATCAAGGCTCGCAACTTTCTCGTCTTTCAGGGTGATGTCGAGGCCATCGCGGTACAGAAACCTCAAGACCTGACACGACTTATCGAACAGGTCTCTGGAAGTCTGGAGTATAAAGCCGAATACGACAGGTTGAAGGCGGAGCTGGACGAAGCCGCAGAGCAACAAGCGTTTCAACTGAACCGTCGCAGAGGCATCAACTCCGAGATCCGACAGTACCAAGAACAAAAGAGAGAAGCTGAAAACTTCCAGAAAAAGGCGGCCGAGCGGGACGAGGCGGTCGTGACTCACGTCTTGTGGAAATTGTACCATCTGCAACGCCAGATTGAAGAGTCGAGTGCAGAGATTCAAAAACATCAGCAGGATCTGAAAGAATTCCGCAGAGGTATTGAAAAGTACGAAAAGAACCTCGAGGCCGCCAAGAGAGACCATGCGCAAGCTGCCAGAGAAGTGGCCAAGGCAGAGAAGGCGATCAAAGCTAAAGAAAGAGAAATCGAGGACAAGACCTCATCGCTCGTGCCCATCGATGAACAGATCTCGGTGTCCCAGAAGCAACTCGCCAAATATGCCAACCGCATCAGTGCAATTGTGAAGGAACGAGACGCTCAGGCTGCAGCGGTGGCACAACTGGAGAAAGATCTGAGTAGGGTTGAGAAGGCACAAGCTCAATGGCAGAAACAGTGGGAACAAAACGCAAGCCGACTGGGCGGTCAGCTGAGCGATGCAGACCTTCAGGAGTACACGCGACTCCGGGAAGAACTCAACAAACGTGCGTCAGCGGACTTGAGTCGTATTGATAGACTCAAAAACGACCGAGCTCCGATTGAGGCCACATACAATAATCTGAAAAGCAGTGTGGAAACTACAGAGTACAGATTGAAGTCCTTGGAAAACGACTACAATGCAATCAGCGAACGAAGAGATGCCGTCAAAGAAGCTGTCCAGCAGACGCAAGCCGAGATTGAAGCCAAGAAGAAAGAGCTTAACGCTGCGACTTCAAGGCGACTGCAGGCTGCGCGAACCCGAACTGAGCTTGATGAGAAACTCGCCGAAGTTGCCCGCAAATTGCTCGAAGCCGACGACGGTCGAAGGACAAGTGAAAAGGAAATGAGGATGAAAGAGACCATTGCCATGCTCAAACGTACCTATCCTGGGGTCAAGGGCCGGGTGCACGAGTTATGCAAGCCCAAGCAGAAGAAGTATCAAGAGGCAGTTGGCACTGTTCTCGGCCGTCACTTCGACTCTGTTGTCGTCGACACTGAGGCGACAGCCAAACAATGCATCGAGTATCTCCGAGACCATCGGTCAGGGCAGGCCACATTCATCCCTCTGGACACGATTCATGTCAAGGCTCTAAATTCAAACCTGAAGGGCATGCACCGGGGCATGCGTCCGGCAATCGAGACAGTTGATTATGACCAGTCGGTTGCACGAGCAATATCCTACGCTTGTGGCAATGCGATTGTTTGTGATGATCTGGACATTGCCAAAGAACTGTGTTATGTCCGTCATGTTGATGCCAAAGCCGTCACCCTCGACGGCAGTGTCATCCATAAAGGTGGCCTGATGACCGGTGGTCGTGGTCGAGAGCAGAATACTCGCAGGTGGGACGAAGCTGAGGTCGAGAGACTCAATAAGCTCAAGGACAAACTGATGGAGGAATTCGCCGCGCTTCCTCAAGAGAGATCCCGTGTGGCCGAAGAGCAGACCTTACAAAACGAGCTGGGCGGTCTTGAAAGCAGACTTCGCTATGCCAAAGAAGAACTGGACGCTCTTAACAAGAATCTTCAGAGCAAGAAGCGTGAAGTCGACCACGTGCGACAATTGCTGGCCGAAGAACGGCCGAAGATGAGAAGTGAGCAGAGCAAACTGGAAAAGATCGATGAGGAGATATCCGAATACCAAGAATCGGTCAACAATGTCGAAAACGAAATCTTCGCCGATTTCTGCCAGAAGCATGGGTTCGAGGACATCCGGGACTATGAAGCACGCCAAGGTTCACTTCAACAGGAAGCGGCGCAGAAGAAACTCGAGTTTGTCACGCAAAAGGGTAGAATCGAGGGACAACTTGCCTTTGAAAGAACCAGACTCCAATCTACGGACGACCGCTTACAGGCTCTTCGGGACAAGGAGCAACGCGACAGAGAAACAATAGACGAGTTGAGCGAGCAACGACAAGGGATTCAAGACGACCTAGACACTCTGAAAAACGAACTAGATGAACTGCATGCTCAACTAGACGAGCAAAACGAGCGACTAGCGGAAGCGGCGGCAAAATTGACCAAGCAGAGACAAGAGGTCCAAAAGCGAGCAAAGGAGATGGAGAGCACTTTTCGCGCCATCAGTGCTCTTGAAACCGAGATTCAACGACATTCGGCGGTTAGATACAGTCTCCTGCGTCGCTGCAAGATCGAGAATATCGCCATACCTCTAAAACAAACGTCTGCAAGTCTAGACAGCGTGCCCATCAACGACATGCCTCTGGACGACGCGAATGCCATGGACGTTGACGATGAGGACGAAGACCCCACCTCATCCGCCATGAAAGCACACCATGTCAGCGACTACGGCGTACAGCCGGACTTTGACGAGCTCGAAGACGACCTTAAGGAGGACGACAGCGAAGCCATGGAGGCCAAGTTGCAAGAAGACATTGCCAAACTAAACGCCACACTGGACAAGATGCAGCCCAATGCGCATGCCGGACAACGTTTGGCCGCGGTCGAACAGCGCGCCCGGGATACGGAGCAGGAATACGAGGAAGCTCGAGCGCGGTACCGTGAGCTGAAAGCGCAGTTCGAAGAGACCATGGAGAAACGCAACGAGCTGTTCAACAAGGCCTTTTCACATATTTCCGAGCAGATTGAACCCATCTATTCCAACCTGACGAAATCGGACGAATTCCCCGCTGGTGGACGTGCGTATCTCACTGCGGACGAGGAAGAACCGTATCTCGCCGGAGTCAATTACCATACCATGCCGCCGACAAAGCGATTTCGAGACATGGAACATTTGTCCGGTGGCGAGAAGACCATGGCTGCCCTGGCGCTGTTATTTGCCATCCACAGTTACCAACCCAGTCCGTTCTTCGTGCTTGACGAAGTCGATGCCGCGCTGGATAATGCCAATGTCGGGAAGTTGGTCAATTATGTCCGCAACCATGCTGTAAGTTGGACTCTACTTCCGTTGGTCTTGGGGTTTGTGAAAGATGAAGTTTACTGATTTGCTGACTATATTGCTACAGGGCCCCGGCATGCAATTCATCGTCATCAGCTTAAAGACGGGCTTCTTCCAGGGCAGCGAGACCCTTGTTGGTGTATACCGTGACCAAGGGGCAAATAGCTCCAAAGTATTGACGCTCGACGTACGTTTTGTTCCTGCCTTCCCTTCTTTTTCCCTCTCGTTCTGTCTGTTTCTTGTTGACATGTCAGAATGGGTGCGCTAACATGCATGCTTCGTTTCATCTATCTAGTTGCGCAAGTATTCTTGAAGTCAGCTGGCCGGTTTAGATCCGTCTTGTTCTCTCGAGAACGAATGCAAGCTCTTAAGCCTCGTCCTGACGGTCTCGTCCCTACTCAAGTCTATTCTGTGAAAGGGAGTCCTCAGGTTGCAATCATGTCTAGACTACAGTCTAGATGCTACTCTACCTTTTCGTGTCTTGACGTGCATACTACACCCCTTCCAGGGATTTGTCCTCATGGCGTCCGGACGTCGGACCCGTCATAAGATTGCGTTCATCATGATGAGTTGAGTGAGCAACGAACGAATGGATGCTGTGCGGTCACATTCAATGACTGAATGATTTGAACGGACCGAAGGGAATGGGATGCTATGGTCTGCATTGCGTTGCGGTGCATTTCATGTCCGAGACATCACACACCTGAGTCAAAAATTCGTGGGGGAGATTGGATACAAGTACATACTGCTGTGGTCGTACAGTACAGTTGTAAACCTTGTGAACAATTCGCACGCATATCTCTCTCCCTGCTACAGCGCACCACTTTTTTGATTGTTAATGTCGGATGTTGGGCGTAGAGTAAAGTAATGTGACTTCATTTCATTTCTATTCGATCCATTTCGGAAAGAAGTGGAGTTGACTAAGACTACCAACTAGTAAGTAGTATATCCTGTGTCTGAGTCTCTATGTCTTGGGAGGAAGAAAGGTCGATTAGATAGGACAGAGGCAAGAAACGCTGCACGTTACGGCCGTCTCAATCACGCTAGTCTGTTACAGTCTCCCTCACTGTAAGCCAGGATCTGCTGCCACTTCTTCTCAAGTGTTTTCCCCAGTAGTGTATTCCTGTTAACGCATTGCTGGGGTCCTAAGTCTATTTGTCTGAAAGAGGAGTTTATGGAAACACAATCAATCAATCTTTCCTGACTTCGGCTTCCGGCCTAGGTTCCTCCTGCCTGCCCTGCTCAGAGACATCTCTCTCAGCTTCTTTGGCCTCTTTAGCTGGCGAAGGCTGCTCTGAAGCTTGCTTGGGCGCAGCATCACCAGCCTTGGCCTTTGGCTTCTCATCAATGTTTTTGTCATCTTTGGGCGCCTGGCTTGCGCTCTTGCTGCTTTCAGGAGCTTCGGTTTCCTTAGCTTGCTCATTTTCCTCCTCAATAAGCTCCTGTTGCTCCTTCAGAACTTCCAGACGCTGCTTGTTTGTGGCGGCGCCTTCGGCATTATGCACCTCAAGTTCAATCTCGTGGAACAGCTCCTCGGGAATGCTGCTCAGCACGGCCTGCAGAGCGTCGATCTGTGAGTCGATCTCGCTATCCTTGCCGGATGTGTACATGTAGGCATTGCTGAGGACCAGTAGAGTCGAGGGGATGTTGTATTTCAACCGGAGATCCAGCCACATCTGAAGGTCTTCCCTCAGCTTTCCTGGTGACACGCCATGCGTCCGAATGCCGCGCGACGCACATGCCATCTGTAGTTCCGGAACAGACAAAGAGTCAACGCCTTCAAACGAGATCGCCTTGTCATCGCGTTTGATCTGTCGCATGCGGTGGCGGATCTGGTATCGGAGCATGGCGTCGGTTCCGAAGGCGTTGAGGTTCAGATACTTGCAGATGGCGACCAATTGCGGCCGCGACAGATTGTCCAGTGTCAAGTCATCCTTGAATATCTTGCACACTTTGATCACATCCTCTTTCGAAGGTGACTCCCCTGTGGTCCGGACCTTGCGGAAGAACTCGGTAAACTCCTCCTTTCTCGCGTTCACGGCCGAGATAGGTAACCCGGTTTCCCGGAGTGTGTTCCGCAGAAAAGAAGACACGGTCTTGCGGGTCTCTCTTAAATGTGCCGCTTTGGCTTCCTTGGATTTTTGGCCTTCGTAAGTGGAGGGGAGAAGATTGGGGAATAGTTTCAATGCCACAGGGAGCAGCAGTTCGGCGAAAGGGACGATGACGAAAACAGAGAAAGGCACCAAGCGCGCCAGATCTTGCACCGTTCTTTGTAGCTATTGAGATTGTTAGCTCAGTCCCAGTTTCGCATTTGCCCTTGGGGCAAGCAGACTTACCTGTCTGTGTTCTCGTCTACTGAGCTCGTACCCCGCGGCCATCTTCAATGCGAGTTTGGTGGAGATTCTGACTTCTGCCGCCAGCAACTTCGTACCGTCCCAATAGTGTTGGATTTCTTTTTTGATCTTTTGTCCGAGAGTAAGCTTTTTAGACTCCTCTTTCTTGTTGGCCACAGCCGTGGACTTTGCTTGGCCCTGCTCGGCAGCTTTCTCGGCAGCCAACTCAGACAAACTAGCATTTTCAAGCGCCTTAGTCTTGTCAACCATAGTCGCTTCGGTCTTGGATGTCTTCAGTTGCTCATCGGACTTCTTCAACTCGGCAATGGTGGGGGTGGATGACGTGGTCCTCGACGAATCCTTGGGTAGTGGTTTCTTCGCTTCATCGATGTTGAACCCCGGAGGCGGACCACCATCAGAAGTGTGTGTGCTCGTTTCGGTGGCATAACCTCTGTTTGGCAAGAGGATTGCTAGGGCCTGGATCCTGGGTGGGAGGTCTCTTGTAAATCCGGATCGTGATGCATAGCTAAGAGAGTGTGGGAAACGCGAGTGTGCTATGTAAATGTCAGCGCATATCCTCAGGCACAACTACCGAAAGACCAGAGTGCCACATACATTGCAATAATAGCCTCCGCGTTGCAGCGCTGCTGACGAGTCTAGGGCCCGAACTCATGATTGGAATGGAGGGGACGGAAGCGCAACGAGTGGAAGTCTGGCCAGTATATAAGGAGTGAAAGAGCCCGAGACTGAGAAAATATACGGAGACACAATCCGATATGGTATAGGGGTCAGATAATAGAACGGCAAGTTGTTGGCATTTGTTTCAAGGTGACATATTATTGCCTTCAGAGGATCAGGATCAGGGAGTGAAGTGAGGGTTGAAAGACTCCGGGGCCAGGGACCGCAGGCACCCGAATACGGATAGTCACGTGCAGCGCTATTCGGGCCCGAAGGGCCTTCGAACGTTCGGAGTTACCAACAAAACGGGCGGATCTAAGATGCTCGGGCGATGCACGTGACGTCGCTGGCAGCTTACATCATCAAGTCGGCTGAACGTTTGGGCAGAGGATCAATGCTAGGAGTAGTTGTAGTTAGGTATCGAGGAGCTGAGGCTGCAAAGTAGTGAGGCATGGCTAGAGCTGACTGAGGCTGTCAAGATCAAGGATACTCACATGTATGGCGCATGATATGCCGCGGAGCTGTTTCATACATAGCAAACCGCGTGTCTCGTGGCATGGTCAGCTCGCTCCATAGTCCACCAAGAGACGGGATGATTCGACCGCTGCTGCTCGGGAGTATTGTAACTTGAAAGGCTGCATTGGATTACGCGAGCACATTGTCCCAAAGCAAAGACTCCCTCATGTCTTGCTAGAGGCCACAGCACAAGGCCCATTGGCCCCAATTTAACTTAGTCTGAGGGGTCACTGCCATGTCCGTCCTTTTTCTGCGCCGCCGGTGAGTCTCTCATCGATTCATCGTCCGACAAGTCACGTCTCTGTCTTTTCTGTTCAGGCGAGGAGTCTGAAGAAGTATTCCGCCGCCGTCGAGCAGCTGGTTCGTATCGTGGCAGCGATCGCCTTCGTTTCTGATACCTCCCCCCACTGCGGCTTCTACTGCGACCCTCACTACTTCTCCGTCTCCGGTATGATTCCCTTGGGCTTCGGCTCAGACGCCGGTCATCGCGTGCATCGCGGCTCCTGAGAATATCAGCGCGCTTGTTGCTTCCTTGCTCATCAGAGGAATACGAAGGGGATCTCCTGTGACGCTTTTCATCCTTTCGATAACCCCGCCTTCCGTCTCGTGATCGCGATCTTGACCTTGACTTTGATGGAGAAGATGAGTACGAACGGCGTCGACGATACCTCCGCGGTGGAGGGCTCCGACTCCGACTCGGGCTCCGGCTGGGGCTACGGCTGGGAGACGATAACGAACGACTCCGCCGTCTTCTCCTAGGCGATGGTGAGCGTGATGAATCAGAACGTGTTGCGGACCTGGCTCCTTTGTCACCCGGTGATTCAGAGTCCCTTCTAGCTCTTCTCCGTCCTCTGGGAGGAGGCGATCTTGTCACACTTCGACTTCGAGATCGCGGACGCCTTCGACGCGGTGGGGATGGGCTCCGCGAGTATCTGCGCGATCCCGATCTTGACCGAGACTTTGAAGAGGCAGCTCGACGTGATCGACGAGGTGATGGCGTTCTAGACGGCGAACGTGACCGTGATAGAGATCTGGTCAGGGATCTGCCTCGGGCGGCACCCCTTCCTCGCCCCCGGCCGCCGGGGACATAGGTGTCTGCGTCTCGGCGGAGAGGGGGACCTCGGAACGGAGATCTCCTGCGAGGAGGAGGAGAGCGTGAGTACCTAGGTCTGCGCGTGTCAAAGGATCGTCCACCACGGCCACCACCACGCCCTCGTCCCCTCTCAGCCCGCTCACGCTGTCGAATTGCATCGATGTCACGTTCCCGAGTCTGTTCTTGGTCCTTACGAGTCCTCGCTTCTTGTGCCGCTTTCTCGGCATCGATCTGACGAGGTCAGTCAGCGTCCTCTTCAGTAAAGTGTATCAAAATGTACCTTTTCTTGCAGGAGCTCCAGCTTCTTGGCTTCGAGGAGTTCTTTCGGAACTCCCTGTGGATTGGACTGCGCGCTTAGACATAGATTCCATAGTTCTTTGCAAAATTTAGGAGTGTCCTTGTCAAGAAAGCCGGTGAGCGAAATCTGTAGCGCTTTGATGTCGGGCTAGGGAACGTCAGTGGTCGCACACCACGGTAGGGTCGTTCAGGACGTACGAAACGCGAACCCTCGAGCAGGTTGAAGCAAAGCTCGATTACCACGTCATCCTCAGACTTCAATATCTCGGAAATCTTGCCTGCAATCCATCTGTGAAGGCATGTTAGTGGAACGGATGGCAGACTGCGCGGGAGAACCGAGGAAACCAACTTTTTCATAACCTCAACGTTGACTTTCTTCATATCAACCTTCTGATTGAACTCGGGAGGAAACTTGGTCTGCCTGAGCAGTTTCTGGTCTACCGCGGTAGCCATGTTCGTGAGGCGGCGCAGAAAGCGACGGAAATCAGAGTTGTTGTTCAGTTCGACTGGATCACAAAAGTACATAGGTACGCAGTTAGGAGGTGAGTGAACTCCGCAACAAGCCTCGTCCAGAAAGGAAACTCAGGCGAACCATCCTGCTGCTACTTTTTACTACCTAGGAACTCCTTCGAAACTCAGGCTTGGTTCCATATACATACAGCTACCTACCAGGTAGGTACTGATATTAGATATATGTATGTACGTGGGTAAAGCCAACGGCAGTGACTCGAGAGCAGCACCAACTTGAAATGAAATGGAACCCGACAAAGGTCCCGAGGTCTTGCCAACTGCCAGTTGCAGCGCCGACGAGGCCACAAGAACTGAGCAGGTGCAGCGAGTCCTTCGTTCTTGCCGTGTGCCTGGTCCTGCCAGTGCTTGTTGTTTTGTGCCTGCGCTTCCTCCACCCTCAGCTTCGTTCTCTCGGCCTCCTATTCATGCACCTTTCCTGTTATCCTCTTTGACACTGTTGCCCAATATGAGTTATGAACATTCCTTCTCAAAGTGTCCCATCACGTAATCGCTACACTGCCCATTTCGTTAGGACGGGCGGGCCTTGGCTGAGAAAGCAGCCTGCAAGCACGCGCCGGATTCTCCCACGGTGGCGCAGTTCTGTCGTGGTCGACTGGATCTCGAGGTACACGTCACACAAGCACAGGCATGAGTTTCCTCCGATGATGCCAAGGGCACCGCTCATACCTGACAGGTTTAGGACTCGCAAGAAACAGAAGTCAACGTTCAGTATCGTTCGGACAAAAAGCGCCAACCCGGTCAAGACAGCGGCGGGGCGTCACCGTTGATAACTCTGCCAACTTCTGCGGCGAGTAGAAGGCAGTCAGTTGATGCTCTGGTTGATCTCTTCGAGACGGTATGGCCCACCTTTCCACTTAGGGGACTTTTGTTGATCATCCAGCAGAAAGAGAGGCTGAGCAGAGCTCCTACAACTTGCGAGGATCGGCCTTCTACCAATCCTGCGCCCCTTCTCCGCCGCCGCTACAGCAACGCGCTGAAGTCGCAAATTCAGCCGTCGTCCGAGTATTGGCCAGAACAAAGGAGCCTTGGGGAGACCCCCCGAAAGCGAGATAGCCTAAACTTCGATCGAGCATTGACCAATAGGTTACCGAGCCTCAGCGAGACACCTGCAGAAGTCGAAGTCGCAAAATCGGCCGACCAACTCGCTCCTTCAGGAATACCACGGATTGACGTCAAAGTATCTCCCCAATCTCTTTCGATCATCATCCCTAAAGGTATTGAGCTGCCCATCATTGCTACTATACAGCCCGCTGGCGCCTTCAAAGCCCAGATGTTTGGTTCCAGGGCTGGGGAAGAAGGGGAGGCGAGTGGAACCTCTGCCGATGAAATGCAATCACAGCACAATGTCGAAGCAGATTTGGCTCTTCAGGCGGGTAGACCCGTGATTTTGGATCGTGACAACCAAGAAATCATCGCCGGATTAGGCTTGCCTTTCCTTGCTCGGGTCAGCAAAGGTCGGTTGAATGTCTCTGAAGCTTCAGTTCCACCACCCCAGAGTTCTGAAGTTTCGGCACAGGGGCAAGTCTTTATTCCAGCTCATCAGCACGCAAGCGAGTGGGATTCTGAGCCTCTCGAAGATCCCTCAGATCACGACAACCAAGATGAGCATCTGTCGGAAGAAAGTCACGGGCTGGATGCTAACAGGTCCAGCCTGGCTGATCTCGGAAGCGGCCGAGCTGCAGATCCGAATACTGACCAGGCTGATGGGGTACCACTCCAGGCACCAGGCCCGGCACCCATTTTTTCACCTGCTCCGGAACAGATCGCGCTCCCTGAAACCCCTGTCGAACACAAGGTGCCCGGAGGCTTCCCCTCCAAATTTGTGCCTGACGACTCGGAACACGCACCCCAGATCAGACTTCATAGGCCGAGCGCACCCGGAATCACCGCATCTCTAAGAGAGTTAATCAGAAAAAGCATAAGCGATTCGAGCGAGCCCGTGCCAACGGCACCGCCACCAACGCCGGCCGCTGCTCCGGCTCTAACAACGACAAGTCCAAGTGAAGTGACAGGTCCAATTGCAGTAATGGTTCCGTCAGCAACCGCTGCGCTGCCAGCCGAAGTTTCTGAGAAAGGTCCAAATGCAGTAATAGATCCATCAACGACAGGTCCAAGGGCAGCGATGGACCCGTCAGCAACCGCTGTGCTGCCAGCTGAAGCTTCCGAGAATCCTTCGAGAGCGATGGAGGCGACCACCAATGCAGCACCGGCCACAAACCCCGCCATGCTCGGCTCTTCGACCGTGTCTATCATTGCTAGCTCGATTTCTGAATCAACAGACCAACAAACTGCTAGCAGTATTGGCAGCGTGAGCAGACGCACGAGGGCAGTTCGTAGGGTTCGGAGCGTCCTGGTCAGAAAGCCTGTGCTGGATGTTATTATAGGTCGGGACCTCGCAGAAGTCATCCGTCCCGAGCTTAAAAGGCGCGCCAAGCTTACTTCTGCGACTCCATTGCAAGTCGACGGTCCAAGCGACTATTTCCCGGCATACTCCAGGCGTCAAGAACGGAGAAGGGACTTGCAGCGGAAACGTGTTGACGAAAAGCTCGCGACTGCCAGGATCCATGCGGAAGCAGAAAGACTCCGAAAGTGTCCGCATTGTCAGGGTCTCACCCAAACGAAATACCACCGAGCATACCATAGGTTACAGCTCAAACGCGACAGACCGGAGTTGAGGATGCTGGATAGATATGCAACAGGCAGAGCTAGGGTTGTGGCCTCGAGATGCAATTGCCGCAGAACAGGGCTGTTTAGGCGGGGGAACATGGCTCGAGCAGGAGACGCGGCGTTGACTCAGGAGGCACTCATTGGAGAGGTTCCTGCAGAGGAGAGGAGTCATGGCCGGGAGTTGTTGGGTTCGTGATGTGGATATGAGGCTTTTGAGGAGAATGCAATCCCGTGCATCCTTATCTCGAGACTGGATAAGCTGCGACAGCAGCCTTATACTGATCCTATCATTAAGCTTTCACAAACCCGTGTCTACCGTTATGAGGCCAACAGTCACTCTGACCGGTTCAAGGCCGATAGCACTTGTTCAACGTTCTTTTCTGCCTGGATCAAGTCCGGGTCGGCACCCCTTTGCAGGTAGTTGACCTTTACGTCGTAGTGTAAAGACACAAGCTCATTGGCGTACTGAAGGTCGGGGTCAAGACTCTGTTCGGGCTCAGCACTGGCACCTGGCCGGGAAGCTTCATGGTTGTCACTGGCAGTCTCCTTGCTGTCCACGGATGTAGACCTGGCTGGCTTTACCAGGGAAACGGCAGCTTCATGTGACTGAGAGTACAGTAGACAGCGTTAGTCGCATTGAATTCCGAGGCGAGGCTTCATGATCAAAAAAATGTGACCAAAAAAATGAAGTTATGCATTGGGACAAGCAAACACCGCCTTTGCTTCGAGCGAGGCCTTCTGGCAATGCACGGGAAAAGACTCAGACTCACACATATGCTCAACGACTTGAGGTCGGATAGAAAAGCGGCGATTTGCATGATGATTGATATGGACGGTGTTCAGGTTATTGTAGTTGACGTGTACTGTTTCTGTCGACGTAGCGAAGGAGGTATGCTTGGCGAGTGGGGTTGTCCTATGTACCTAGGTACCTACTGGTAGTAGTGAGGGATTTAAGTGGTCGGATTGTATTGGGTTGCAGATTGAGAATCGTAAGGACGGCGGACAAAAAACGCGAGGCTGATACTGATGTTGATGTTTATGAATGGCAGTAGAACAGGTGAATGGATAGAAGTAATGTTTGAGTTCACGTTGGTACAGAGGGTGGATACTTGACTCGGACTAGGATGAAGATGGTAATGCAATTGTACTGTATTATTTTCTGTCTTTAACGCTTCGTACCACCACCACTGGCTGAGTCTAGATATGTATGTACCCTCTATCCACCGAAAACAACAAGAATTCCGACGGCTGACTGACCGCTCCAGTGTAAGTAATATACATTAGTACTGCATTCACTATATGACACCAAACTCAACCCGTCCGAGACAGCTACTCTGCTGATTCAATATTTCAGCATACTTGTCCGTTCACGGACGCGATTAAAAAAGAATGGTTATTTATTGAGCGGGAGCAAAGATGTCACGAGTCACCACCCGATCCCTTTCAAAATAAAAAAAAAAAAAAGAAAAGAAAAAGAAAAGGAAAAAGGCTTCTATGCCCTTTTCTCTCATCACCTGTCGACCTACGAGAGAGCACTGGGATCAGCTGCAGTGATTCGGTAAGTACCAGGTACATACGTACTACATCTCCAATGCGAACTTGAATCTCGCTATCCCGTACCAAGCGTCTCTCGGTCCCATCGTCTACTCAGACTCTCGCCTTGTTGGGCTGTGCTACTACTATCATTGTTGTTGAAGACAAGACACCTCCGTTATCTCCTTTCATTTCAATTGATTGAACCCGAAGACACCCAGTTTCGTTGTTGCTGCTGTTGTCTCACTTGCAACTCGATTTTCCATTTCAGTGGCACCGACAGTAATCATGGTCCATGTCGGCTCGGGGCAGGTCAGGCCTCCCAATACTCGCCTATAGCCGATGGCTACGGTCTACCTGAGCTTAAGGCCTTACGCAGTAGATCAATCCTACCATCCATGCATCCATCCACCCATGCATTTGCAGACCCCACTGGCAACCCCCGGACCCCAACGGGACGGGACGCCTTATTACCCCTATAATACAAGAAGAGGAGCGAGGATTCTGTTCGTTCGGCATATATAGCATGGCATGGGCTCCTTATTCTTGGAACGTCTTTGGAAGTTTTGGGATCGGATCGAGAACGCCCTGATGTTCCATGGTGAGTATATAAGTAAATCATCCAGACATGATACAGTACCTACGGTACCTATAGGTATCCTAGCCTTGTAAGCATAGGCAGATAGATACGGACCTACCCTACAGCAAATGTACAAGTACAGTACAGTAGCCACCTGGATGGGTGGTACTGTACCTAGTTATCCATCTGAGACAAGTACGCACAGTGGAGCCGAGGACGAACGAGGCTGACTCCCTCCTGACTTACGATCCTCAGTCATTATAAAAGCCCCAAGAAAAAGTGTCTACCAGTCATCTACTACGGCAGGTGTATCACACTGTAATTATCAGCTCTCGTAGTAGCTGCAAGATAAGTTGGTACGTAAGGTTAAAGCTAGTGCTTGAAGTAACCACTATCTTCAAGTCTATCATTGTCCCTTCTCCCATCAGCGTTGTCAGGAGACGACTCCTGCGACTCCGACTCCCTGCTGACTAAGCCGATTTCGAGGGAGACGACTCCGGAGTCGTCTCCTAGCGACTCCTAGCCGTCCCGATTAGGCAATTAGGACCCACTTTCGGAGCGCGTCAACTATACTCCGTCGTATATACCGTTGTTAATCTAATACTTTATACACTATTATATCTTAACCCTCTTAACTAATAGACGATTACGGTCGATAGTTAATAGGCGCTTCGTCGACGAGAAGACTCTCTTAACCTTAGCCGATATAATAGGTATAGATAGTACGTCAAAAGCCCACTGGTGTCACGGATTGACATGCCGAATCGCCATCACGTGCCGCCATGCATCACGTGATGCCCAGTAACACGTGACTAACACGTGATCACGACGAAGGCTTGGCAGACCTCGGTTGCTGACTACTTACTCGTGCAACCGAGCGCAACTCTCTTTATAGTCCTTCGTCTTAGAATTCATATTATAAACAGCATATACGTTTACAACAAGTCTCTCGTAGCAGTGCTCCGTAATACTTTCTAAGACTACTCAAACAACAGAGACCGACCGCTCTCTACAGTTAACTCGACTAGTAAATACATCAAATTCGAGTCCTATAGGAAGCGCCGCCGATCTTACACCTTTTCTCTATAAATATCTTACACTTTAGTTAACTAACTAGAGATTATATCAAATTCAGCCCTAAAGTGCGAGGCGTCTATATTCTCTCTTCCTTCTAAACAAACTTATCGAGGTTAACTAACTAGCGATCATATCAAATTCAGTCCTAACGTAAGCGAGTTCATTCTAGAGACTCGACAACTATCTTATTTATTCAACTACAAGTACTCTTCCTTTAGTTAACCTAACTAGAGATCGTATCAAATTCAGGTCCTACTAGAAGTACCTATTTACACCAACCTTACTATCGATCTTATAGCAATTTATATAACTACGATTACACTTTCCTTAGTCGACCTAACTAGAGATTATATTAAATTTAGATCCTACTAAAAGTACATATTCGCACCTCGATAGTTAACTACCCTATCGACTTCGAGTAAATTACGCTATCGGTCTTATAGCTAACTTAAGTATCGTAACCTATATAGCCGAATTAATTAGCGTAGACTACACTTCGTAAGCAACTACGACTTTACTAACGCTACTAACTTAGAGAGTATTTAGTTACTTCTATTCTCCTTACTCTCTCTCCTTCCTTCCTATTATTCGATTCGATAACTCTACGAGTATTACTCCTCTCGATCCTTATACCTCTCGAGCCTCTCGATCCTATTCCTCCCACTTCTCTCGATCCTCCTCCTACCGACCGACTAAACGAACCTTTTTATAACCGAGAGAAACTTACACTAGAAGAGATTAGAATATTCCTTATATACTACCGAAGAGCTTAGAAACTATTAAGTCTTCCTACGGATCTTCCTAGACTAATCTACTCTTCTAGTCTTATTTTATACGTACTAGTTATAATTAAGTTTCTCGTAGTTAGACTTATTAAGATTTCCTTCGATACGGCTTAGGGTCTTAAGTAGTAAACCGAGATTATAAACTCTAAAGGTTCCTAATAGACTTAAGTAACGTTATACTATTAATACCCTACTAGATTTAGATCTAGAATTAAACTAATTAGTTATACTATAACTAATCTACGTTCTAGGTCTCGATAAGGCCGAGACTCTAAGCGGGATATAAGCGCTATTCGTTAATCTCGTCGATCCGTACGCTCTAGAGCTCTATCCGACCAACCAACGTAATCTATATAGTCCACTATCCGCGCAGACGCATAGGGTGAAGTTAGACTATCTATTAAGGTGCTAGTATCTAAACCACGTATTTCGTCTATTATAGGCATACTAGTATACCCTAGTTATTTCACTAGCTCTCTCGCTATACCGCCTCTACCTTCTCGTACTCGCGCCGTTATACGATCTTAAGCCGTATCGATATCCGCTTAACCTAGCCTAGACCCTTAATAGGAGTTAGAACAAGAATAAGAGCCTAACCTACCTAGCTACTCTAGTACTTAATAACTAATTAATAATCGTTTAGATAACTTCGATCTATCTTATATTCCGAAGGAAGAAGAAGACGTATATATCTACCCTACGAAGACTACTTAGGAATCTAACAGTTAAGACCCTAAAGTAACTTAATCTTAAGACCTATAGTCTTAATTAGCTACTATAGCACCTATTATAACCAAGAAATCTAAAGCTAAACTATTAAAAGATCCTCTTCTAATAGCTACTAAAGCTTCTCGGTCTAGATAGGCTGCGCAACGGGTTGGGTAGGGCAGGGTTTGGGGCACCTACCGCCCGCCTAGTTAACCCAATAGGGTTTTTAAAAAAAGCGCTACCCTACCCTCACGGGTTTCGGGTAGGGTAGGGTACCCGACGGGTTTTACTAAGAACCCTAAAATCTAATTATTAATTAAGATCTTCGTAATATATTATACTCCGTAATAAAGCAATATAGCGTATAATAACTTATTATAAGTATTATTATAATAATTACTTACTAATCTTACTAATCTATTATCTACTAATCGTAATACGAGAA